CCCCACTCACCTGTGAGAAGAGAATCTCTTCTGGGAGTCAAGCGAATCTTTGCTCCGGTCTGGTTTCGCCTTATAGGAAGACGAGGGAGTAAGGTAACGCAGGCTTTCTATGCCCGACATTATCTAGAGTCTCCAGCGGCCCAGACTTTGGGGCAAGGCGATGGAGTCGAGTAGGAAGAAGAAGTCTCTTGGATTCAGGCTTCTGCGTTGGGAAAAGTGCAGCTCAGCAAACCGGCAGCACATCTGTCAACTGGTCTCAGCCTATTCTAGGGTTTCTAGCTCTTTCGAAGAAACAAGGATGCTCCCCACGCTACAGGGCATTTGAAGCAGGAAGGAAATATAGATAACAGATACAGATTGACAGAGTTGGAAGGGACCTTGTAGGTCATCTAGTCCAACCCCCCCCCACCCAAGCAGGAGACCCTATACCATTTCTGACAGAGGGGAGTCCAGTCTCTTCTTGAAAGCTTCCAGGGATGAAGCTCCCACAACTTTCGAGGGCAACTTCTGTTCCATTGTTGGTTGATTGTTTTGTCAGAAAGTTTCTCCTTATTTCTATAGTTGAATCTCTCCTGGATCCGTTTCCGTCCATTATTCCTTGTCTGGACTTTGGGGGCCTTGGAAAACAGCTTGACCCCCTCGTCCTCTCTGTGGCAGCCCCTCAAATATTGGAAGATTCGGGAGCACAGTGGTTAGAGTGCTGTATTGCAGGCCACTTATGCTGACTATTGGCTGCCTGCAATTTGGCAGTTCGAATCCCACCAGGCTCAAGGTTGACTCAGCCTTCCATCCTTCCGAGGTGGATAAAATGAGGATCCAAAATTGTTGGAGGCAACATGCTGACTCAATAAACCGCTTAGAGAGGGCTGTAAAGCACTATAAAGCGGTATATAAGTCTAAGTGCTTTTGCTATTGCTATCATGTGCCTAGAGGTAGAACTCTCGCCTCACAATCAAGAGGCCTGTGAGTTCAATCCCAGGTAGAGGCTAATATTTGAAATAGACTCTCCTGCTTGGGGGGGGTGTTGGACTAGATAACCTCCAAGGTCCCAACTCTATTATTCTATGTCTCCCCTGGTCTTCCTCTTCCCTAGACTAGCCAGGCCCAGTTCCTGCAACCATTCATCGTATGTTTTGGCCTCCAGTCCCCTCATCGTCCTGGTTGCTCTTCTCTGCCCTCTTTCTAGAGTCTCAATCTCTTTTTTATAGTGTGGTGACCAAAACTGGATGCAGTACTCTAGGTGTGGCCTTACTAAGGCTTTATAAAGTGGTATTACTGCCTCCCTTGATCTCTATTGTATCCCTCTCTTAATGCAATTTAGGATTGCGTTGGCTTTTTTGGCTGCTGCTGAACACGGCTGGCTCCTATTTAACTGGTTGCCCATTAAGACTCCAAGATCCCTCTCCCAGTTCCTGCTATTGAGCCTAGTTTCACCCAATTTATATGTGCACTTTTGGCTTTTCTTGCCTAAGTGTAGGACTTTACTTTCCTCTACACTGAATTTCACTTTGTTAGATATGGCCCAGGGTTCAAGTCTAGGTAGCCCTGTAACTGTTTGGTGACTGTTCAAAGTTACGATGGCACTGAAAAAGGGACTTACGGCCATTTTTCACACAGACGTTGCAACATCCCTACGAAATAGTGTAGGGTCTCCTGTTGGGGTGGGGTTGGGGGTTGGACTAGATGACCTCCAATGCCCCTTCCAACTCTGTTATTCTGTTATTCCCGCTGAACAAAATTCAGATGCTTGACAGCTGACTCACACTTATGACGGTTTCAAGGTCCCCGGGGGTGTGTTGTGTCACGCAATCTCCTTCTGTGATCTTCAGGGAAGCCAGATTCACATAAGAACCATCTCACTAATTTAATACCTTGCAGCGATTCACTTAACCACCTTGGCAAGAAAGCTCATAAAAATGGGGTAAAACCCACCTAACAAAAGCCTCCCGTAGAATGTGAGTTTTGGGCTCAATTGTGGTTGCAATTCGAGGACCGTCCGTTGAAAAGGGTAGTGATGACCCAGAGTGGGATACAAAATAAACACAGTCACAAAAATAGGTGAAGCCCCTTTTTATTCCTTGACTTTGCTTCAAAGCTCCAAATATCCTTGACTGGAGACAAAAAACTCCCCTACAAACAGTTACGAAAAGGAGAAATGCCATTTAAACTAAAAATGCCTATAAATTATAAAGAGTAAAAACAACACAAACGACACTGAAGCAGTTAAGGAAACCAGGCAAGATAAGCGCTTGAAGACGTCCACAGATATCGGAACACACACTGGGAAGGAAACCAAACTCGGAGAGGAATGACAGACTAGAGATATTTCCACGCTTTGTTTCCAGCACTGGCCCATACGCATGTCCGTCCTTTTAACCAGTTCTCACAGCTGCAGCCCATGAAGGGGATCAAGGCCCTTTCCTCCCCCGTAGAATTCAGGTCTCTCCCTTATCCTCTCCTCCCTTCATGCCCTAGGATGGAGAGGGGATGGGCCTGGGTCTTCCTTTGACTGCCCAGCCTCCTCCACAACCTCCGGAGCTCTGCTCCACTCCCACTCCCTTTCGGCTGTTCCTCCTCTCCCTTGGAGTCAGGGGCATGACAAGGGTAAGCAGGTAAGTCAGAGCACCTGATTTTGCAGTGTGAATTTCTCCCCCTCTTTTCCTTTCTTGGCTGATGAGATTTGGAGCCACAAATTTTCCTTTTCTACCAACAGAATTAAAGCAGAGGTCTCCAAACTTGGCGATTTTAAGATTTGTGAACTGAGAAATTCTGGCTGAGGAACTGTTGACGTCCACAAGTCTTAAAAGTTACCCACGTTTGGAGACCTCTGCAATAAAAGTGTTATGAAGCTCAGGATAAAAGGTGATGGGAATTAGAGGCATCAAACAGACTTTCTGGAATCTGGGATGCAATTCGAGAGCCTTTCTTGTTTACAGTCAAGAAAATTAGTTCCTGAGCAAAAGAAAGAACAAAGCCAGCAAGAGACATCAAGTACAGATTTGAAACAGTTTTTATTTCTTACAAAAAGAAAACAAACCAACAACCCCAAACCCACCACCTTTGGTATCTTAAAATAATCACATCAATTGTTTTCAGAATCACCGGGGAAAAAAAAATCCATTAAGTCTCTCTAGAATTTTTTAAAAAAACCCATAACAAAACAAAAAACCAGAACACACTGCAACAAGCTTGGTGAAAGATTAACTCAACAGCCTCTCCCCCCCCCCCCC